ATATCCTGGGGACCAGCAGTTAGCGTAATGGCTATGTCGCTGGACTCCCATGTAGTCGACCTCAGTTCGAGTCCCAGGCCCGGTGGCTTAAACTCACGCCAGGCGTGTGTGTATGTGTGCCCAAAATCCTGAGAGGAGAATGGAGGAGAAGGGATTGCAGCGTGGCCATCCCCCCGGGGGGATGATTTCTCGCTTTCTGTCTCTCTGTCTCTCTCTGTTTTTCTGGTGAGTACACGCGCCCTATAGCAAAAACCTCTCCAAAAAAAAAAAAGACATCCTGAATGGAGTCAAAAGACTTAGGGTAGGGATACTTTATTCAAATGATAGTCAAATTTTTAATATTAAAGAGTTTTGAAAATTGGTGAGCAAACAATTATAAATAAATAGAAAATGAGCAAAAGATATGAACTAATTAGCAAGAAAGGAAATACAAGTTGCCAATGAATAGAAAAGCAATTGTATAATCAAGACAACTCAAATAAAACATGAAATGATATTTGATATTTAGTCTATAAGAAATGTAAAGTTTTGCAAATGTACCAATATTATGGACAGCTGAAGATGCAGAAAAATAGGCACTCTCTTAAATTTCTTGTGGAAATGTGAATTAACACAAAGTTTTTATATGTTCATGTCTTGGTTTGTACTTAAATTTTAAATACACATACCAAGATGTTATTGAAATATAATAAAACAATGAAATGTGGGACAGTATATATGATTTTTGCATAAAATAGCATGATAAATTCAATAGATATTGTGCTAGAATAAGTAAACTACTATAAAAATAGACCTAAACAAAATAACTCAAAAGTTATTGTTTGCTGGGGCCAGCAGGTGGTGTGGCAGCTAAGGGCGCTGGACTCCCACATGGCCGACTGAGGTTCAAGTTCTGAAGCTGGTGACTTGCTTTCTCACTTTCCCTCCCTCTTTCTATCTCTCTCTGGTCAAATGAAAATAAATAAATAAATAAATATAAATAATAAATTAAAGTTAAAAAATGAAATTTTTTTTTTAAAGTTATTGTTTGCTATGTTGAGGGAAAGGGTGGGAGATTTTATAAACTAGTCTTATAACTGGTAGATATCACTACTACTCACATTCATTGGCTGGAACTCAGTTTATGACCATCCATAGCCACAAAGGAGGTTGAGAAAAGTAGTCTAACCATGTGCCCAAGTGGATGAGGAGAAGAAATTTTAGCAAACACTTTAACGTCTATTAAAGAGAAAAACAGTAACAAACAAGATTGTTTACTACATGTTCATTTGGAATGCCAAATACTGCAAACAACCTGAATACCTGTTGATAGGACCTCAAAACATTGTGGCAATACATAGTATGGAAGAGTACTTCTCAAACTTGTTGGTCTCAGAGAACTTTATGCTCTTTTTTTCTTTTAATTTCTTTTTATTTCAATTTCTTTTATACATTTAATCTCATGTTACCTAGGTTACAAAGTGAATATTCCAACATGTGTACATTTCTCACCAGTCCAGTTGACAATACTATAATCTTGAATAAATAATAATCCATCTCTTTGTCCCATAAATGCCTTGCCTTTCTATTTTTCTCCTTAATGTCCTTCATCAGACTCTACTCCTTCACCAGCCCTCTTCTCACACTGTATCTGGTATTCACAACCATTTACTAAGTTTCTATAACCCTTAGTCATTCAGTTTTGGCCATAGAGTGCAGACACTCGGTATATATTAAGTGGAGACTACAATGTCTCTCCTTCATAGCCTGGCTTGCTTCACTCAGCAGTAAATCTTCCATATTCATCCATTTTCTGTCAAAAGCCAGGGTCTTGTTGGTTTTTTTTATGGCTGAGTAGTATTCCATAGAGTATATGTGCCATACTTTTTCAATCCATTCATACACTCTTAATAATTATGAAAAACTTCAGAGTTCCTGTTTATATGGCTGAACTTCATCAATATTTATTGCATTAAGATTTCAATTTGTTATTCCACTTAAACTTACCCCATATTAACACAAATTACATAGTTTATGAAAACAATCTTTTCATAAAACAAAAAATGTGGTGAAGTGAGTAGCATGGTTTTATATTTTTACAAATCTCTCATGACTGGCTTAAAAAATTACAACTCCATGTTCTTATTATCTTCTGCATTTAGTCTGCTGCTGTGTGTTGTGTTAGTTGACACACATGAAGGAAATCAAGCCTCACATAGATATTTAGATGGAAAAGAAACTTTTTTAAAATAATATTTTCAGGGACTGGCATGTGGCATGGCAGTTGAGGGGCTGAATCCGCACATGGCCAACCACAGTTCAAGTCTCAGACCTGGAACTTGCTTTCTCATTTTCCCTCTCTCTCTCTCTGGTCAAATTAAAACAATGGTATTAATAGTGAATGAAATTTAAAATTTTTTTAAAAATAACACTTTCAGATAATTTTTATCATCTTTTTTTATCCTATCCCCAAACTCAACAAGTGATTGTTTACTAGTTGCAATGCAGAATCTGAACCATATCAGTACATTTTTGTACTGTTAGATTAAAATTTTTAGTTTGCCCTTTGAATAGATCTTTTATCTATTCATAATTTTGTAATATCCTGAGTTGGTCATTTGGAAAGTAGCATGCCTGTCTTTTAAATATTGATACAGCTCATTACACAATATCAAAAATAAAATTTGTTAATATCATCACTGAAGCACATGGTGATAGACAAAAGCTTTTCAAAATTGCTTTGAGACCTAGTCATAGTGTATGCTGATAGATACTTGGTAGGCTGAGGCCACATGGGATGCCACGGTTTGATTCCCAGCCCACCCTACAAATCTGAGAGTAGTGGTAGGTGCCTCTAACCCCAGTTCCTCAGGAGGCTGAGGTAGAAGGATAACAATATATTGAGGTCATGTCTAAAAATAGATAAATACATAAATAAAATATTTGAAAGCTTTAACTTAATTATCAGCCACAAATACCATCAGTTGTTTTTCTTAAAGTGACAGGTTAACTTCATTCATTTTCTTTCTTTTTTTTGTTTTAATTGGCAGAGGTTTTTTGCTACAGAGCGCGTGTGCTCGCCAGAAAGACAGAGAGAGACAGAGAGACAGAAAGCGAGAAATCACCCCCTGGGGGGATGGCCATGCTGCAATCCCTTCTCCTCCATTCTCCTCTTGGGATCTTGGGCATGCACACACACACGCCCGGCGTGAGTTTAAGCCACCGGGTCCAGGACTCGAACCATGGTCGACTACATGGGAGCCCAGCAACATAACCATTACGCTAACTGCTGGTCTCCACTCATTTTCAAATCTGATTTTATTTCACTTCAGATACCAAATAACTACAGTTTTCAGTCTTTAAAAAAAAGTAGTGTTCACATTTCATGGAATAAACAGCTAGTTTTAAGCCCGTAATTCAATTACACATGTGCTTCTCCTCAAGACAACCATCATAACTCAGTGTGCTGCAAAAACACTTTCATGTCATCTTCCCATTACTTCACCAAGTATATTGAAAAGAATGTCCTCGAGGGTTGAGATTTAATAGAATTAATTTTTACTGCTTCATCAAGGACATTCTTCATTAATAGCTCTCTTGATTTATAGTACACAGACTAAGATTGGATCCAGTAACATCATCCATTTAGCTCCGTGACTTAGGATGTACTTACGTAATTCTACTAACCTCCATTTCCTCACCTGCGAAATGGTGGTCAAGTTCTACCCCACCCTCAAAAGTTTGCTGCAATGAATGTGTGTATGAAATGTTCACATGCCATACACGTATGTTGACCTAAGCGCCCAATATGTAGTAGATGGCTTTCATATATAGACTGTAATATAAAGAGTAGCACTTCAGAGAACAGAGATTCTATTGGGTTATCGGAAAAGTCATGACGCGTTTTTGCATTGAAAAACAGAAAAATGTCATGACTTTCCCAATAACGCAATATTTTTACAACCTACCAGAGGAACTGGCTGGGAGTTAGAAATGAAAACATAGTTTTGTGATATCCTTACTTTATCTTTTTATTCTGGGAAGATAGCCAGTTACATCACAATGACTTGGCTATCAGGTATTGATTTGTTAACTTCCATAATGAGAATAGAATGTCCTTTTATCTCAGCAGTAGAGAGACAAAACCAAAGTGGCCTAAATTATGAGAAGGAACTTATTATTCAAACACACTCTGGGTTTCAGCTGTTTATGGGACCTGCTTGACACATATACATCCCCAGCTATTCTCATATAGAATATTGAAGGGCCACATGGATTAGAAAACATTTATTGAGCACTCTGAGGTTCTTTGAAAAAAGCACTTTGTTTAGATTTTCATACTTGCCTATTAATCAATGTTTAAGTTTGCAGGGGTAATAGGCAGTCACTCAAAATTTAAAAGAGGATAGTTATTTTTGGATAATAAAATATCAGCTGATTTTTCTTTTCTGAAATTATTATTTTATTTGTTTATTTATCTATTTATTTTAATTTACCAGAGAGGGATAGAGTGAAAGAGAAAGAGAGAGAAAGAGAGAGAGAGGGAAAATGAGAAAGGAAGATGCCAGGTCCAGGACTCAAACCGTGGTCATCCATATGGGAGTCCAGTGCCCTTAACCACCACATCACTTTATGGCCTCAGTTTTTATTTTCTTTTGATGTCTATTTTTTAGGTTTCCTACCATCGGTATTTTTCTGTTTACAGTTAAAGCTTATTTACAATTCTATTTTTAAAAGGAAGAAATTACACTGAGCTTGGTTTATGGAACTTTTATTGCAATTTTGCACAGCACTTGAAATTTCAAAGCATTAGTTAGAATTTGAAAAGAACAGTGCATTCGCCTTGGCAAAGGGAGAAAACAGACATCACTGTGGTTTTAACCATTCAGCCGCACCTTTCAGTAAAGAAGGATTGTTTACCCGAGAGCCATTGTGTTCATGACATGATATACACAGGCAGTAAAACACTATGATTAAACACGCACTAGAGCCCAGCCAGCCGCTGGATGTTTGCTCTTGTCTTAACAAAATCTGCTCATATCAGCCATGGAACAGCCATCGGTGCAACACAAAGTTTGTAAATCTTCTCTTAACATCACCGAATGCTCCTTTGACTTCCAGAGCCCTTCTTCAGTGGGCACCTGTCCACCCTGAAGACGTTCTTCCCCTAAGAAATCCATCTTTGGAAAGTTACGGGCTGCATTTTCCATAGAAACCTCATGTTTAGGGAGCTGCAAGTTTTGCCTCTCAGCTGTATAAAGAGAAAAATCATACCTCCTTAGAGAGTCTTGACAAAGGTAGCAACCATATTATATTCTTGGGCAAATTAATTGGATCCTGAGATGAGACTGAGTTGTACACATAATTTTTTAAAAAGAGTTATTTATTCTGTTTAACTTTGTTCATTTTTTTTTTAATTTTTAAATTTTACTTTTAATTTGACGAGAGAGAAAGCCACCAAGTTCTGGACTCAAACCATAGTCGACCATGTGGGAGTCCAGCGTGCTCAAGCACCGCGCCACTTGCCAGCCCTCCTGCCCTTTTTTTTTAATGTTGTCAGGTTTCAGAGAGATTCAACATTTGGGGGCATGCTTATCATCTCAGGTTTCCTCATTCTACAGAGGAGGAAACTTGAGTGCAAAGAGGAGTGACATACCCAGTGTCACTCAGCTAGTTCAGAGCCTTGTCAGGGCTTGACTTCCACTGGCTGCCTCTACTAAGTGACCAGCAGCTTCCAAAGACATTAGTCACATGCCATAAACAAAAACATAAGAACCAAAAACACATAAACAAAAAACAGCTCTATATATGATCTACAAAGCTGACCAGTAAGGAACAAAGGGGAGATTTAAATCTCTTTATCTGAAAAAAAAAAAAAAAAAAAGGACCCGCAGTTTTTATCTGAGTGCTGTTCCTGAAGTCCACATAAGATATGTTCTCTCACTTTAATTCACTTTAAACTTACCTTATCATACTAGCAAGCACCAAGTAAAATCAGATGAATCAATATTTGTTGTTAAATCGGTAATTAATAAGACAAATAATGTATGAGAGAACACTTCGAAATCCATGAAAGAGTTAATGAACAATATTATGGCTATGATAGACATCAATTCTACTGCCCAATAGGTTTCAGAGATCATTCAAATGTATTTGTATTAGTGCATTTTGGTTTATATTCCAGAGATTGGTATAATTCCTAATAAATTATATTTATACTCTTAAGACTAAAAATCCTTATTACTTTTGGGACCAGCAGTTAGCATAATGGCTATGTTGCTGGACTCCCATGTAGTCGACTGCGGTTTGAGTCCCAGACCAGGTGGCTTAAACTCACGCTGGGCGTGTGTGCATGCATGCCCAAGATCCTGAGAGGAGAATGGAGGAGAAGGGATTGCGGCGTGGCCATTCCCTCTGGGGGGTAGTTTCTTACTTTCTGTCTCTCTGTCTTTCTGGCAAGCTCATGTGCCCTATACCAAAAACCTCTCCAAAAAAAAAAAAAAAAAAAAAAATCCTATTACTTTTCTTAATAGCTAGTAATATGAGCCTCAATATTAAAGCGCTGATGGTAAATTTATGATTTTTCAAGGCATTAGCCCATCAACATATGAACACTATAGGCCATATTCTAAAATATTTTGTTTATCCAGGTAATACTAAACCAAATTGGAACCTTCACAATCATACATGTGGTTGCAATATTTCTTATATAATCAGATTTTTCCATTTTCAACTTTTTGTTACAAAATGTAGCAAGTACAAGCAATTACTACAATAGAATCTTAAGCAAGGCACAGAAAGATAAATACTGCATGATCTTATTTATCTGTGGAACCTAAGTAAAAGTCAAATTAATAAAAATAGAGAGGAGGGCCAGGCCGATATGGTAGTTAGGTAACTAGATCCCACATGGCAGAGAGCACTGCTCAAGTCCTGACCTGATGGCCTCAAAAGACAGGCACATGTGTGTACATGCCCGAAATCCCAAAAGGAGGGAGAAAGAAAGAAGGGATTGTGGCATGACTATCTAACTTTCTCACTTTCCCTATCTGTCTTCTCTGGCCAGTGCATGCACCCTCTGACGAAAACTAACTAATAACTAAATAAATGTAGAGAGGAGAATGGTGCTTACCAAGAGCTATGGAGAGCATGGGGCTGGTTGAGTAGATGTTGTTTAAGCATGTGAAATTTCAGTTAAACAAGAGGATTAAGTTCAAGAGATCTATTGTACAACACAGTGACTACAGCTAATAGCAATGCATTATTCTCTCAAAAATTACTAAGAGTAGATACTAAGTTTTCTCACCACACGAACACAAAATAAGCATGTGAATTAGTGTCACATCAATTAGTCCGATTTAGACATTCTACAATGTATGTGTATTTCATAATAATATACTATACACGATAAATACACACAATTATTTGTGAATTAAAAAACTAAAATAGTGAGAACCAGCAGTTAGCATAATGGCTATGTCGCTGGACTCCCACGTAGTCAACTGTGGTTCGCGTCCCGGATCCGGTGGCTTAAAACTCACGCCGGGCACGTATGCGTGCATGCCCAAGATCCCAAGAGGAGAATGGAGGAGAAGGGATTGCAGTGTGACTATCCCCCCTGGGGGTGATTTCTCGCTTTCTGTCTCTATGTCTCTCTCTGACTGTCTGGCGAGCACTCACGCCGCCGGGCGAGCACTCACCCCCTCTAGCGAAAAACTCTCCAAAAAAAAAAAAAAAAAAAACTAAAATAGTAACAAATATTACATAAATAAATTCTATGTCACACTTTAATATAGGATTAGCAGAAAGAATTCGAGTCTAATTTCTAAGTTACTTCAATTAAAAAGTTATAAAATGTAGTAAAGTTGGTTGTCTTGCTATTTCTGAAAAGTAGTAGGTTCATTCTCACTTTTGAAATTCTGATCAGACAATTTCTACTGCAAGAATTCCCACTCTTCTCCAATCCCATTTCTCATACTTCAGATCTTACTGTCCTTAGGGCCTCTGTCAAATACCACCGCCTCCACAATGCTGTCAGTTATTACTGTAGTCCATCATCTTTCTTCTCTACCCAAGACTGAGTATAGAATTAAAAAAGACCTTGGCTCTTGAAGCCAGATAGACCTGGTTTACTTCCCAACCACACAGCTTATCATCTGGGTGAATAGTTTTCTCCAAGGAGAATGGTAAATGATGGTAACATTGCTCACTTTGCAGGACCCTTATCGAGAGGCGGAATTGAAATGTTGCACCTTAAACTTCTTGGCCTTTAAGAAGCCTCAGTAAAAGTTAGCCTTGTTCCTTCCTTCCACATTTAACACCTGACTGAATTCCAATCATCATATTTTATAATTCTTTGTGTATGAAAATCTCGCTATTCCAACCTGTCCTGGAAATCACATGCCTTTTTCTGGCCTCCAGAGCACTGCCATAGATGTTGAGCTCATTAAAGTAGTTGCTCAATCAAATGGCTTCAAGCAGAATACAAAAAAAAAAAAAATTCTTATTTTGGGAAGGTAGTAAGCTGACCTCTTTTCTAAGCCAAATTCTGTTCATTTTGATAATCAGTCCCCAAGTTGATATCAAAATAAATAGCTCAACAAGCACTTAAGACAAACAGTTTCTGTAACTGTTTCTGAAAACAGTCTGAAAAAAATAAGAGACAGATGAAACTAACAAAGGAAACACATGAATTAGCATTACCTTGCTGAACTTGAGGGTTCCCCTCCACACTCCTTCTCCACCTGGAGCTAGCACAGATGTAGATGAATGTTCTTATGTACTCTCGCCCACAGAGCTTCACCAAATCCTCACTCCTCACCTCTGAAATGACAAAGAGAACAGAGAATAGAAACAGAACAAAAATGGAACCCTTCATTTTGCTGAAGATTGAATGAGAATCTGATATGGTGTTGCCAAATCAAGTTTGAAGTCATCCTCATCCTCTTGACCAATTTATACTAACTTTCTTGACATTTTATTGGTCAAAATCTCATTTTAACAATATTTGCTAAGCATAGTAAAGTTTTGGAAATGTACTTTTATGATTATTGCCAGTTATTCAGTCACTTCTGAACACCATTACTTACCATTAGCTGCATCAGTGAGACAATAAACAAATGCTTCCTTGGGAGGCAATACGGGCAATGTATGGACTTTGGAAGCAGCCAGGTATGAGTTTCAACCTCAGCCTTGCCAACTACTGAGTGACGTAAGGCGAGTTTAAAAAACTCTCTCAACCTCTACAGGCTAGCTCTAGAACGGGAAAACCCATTTCTTAAGGGCTTTGTGGATACTGAAAGCAACATTTTATGTCAAAACAATAGGGAATCACACTTAAAAATGTAGGTTCTCAGGTTCTGAGTTGGAGAATGGCTTCCCATTTAATCACATCTATGATCTCAAGCAAGTCATGGGCATCTTTCTTTGTAAAATTGTCCCAATGATAGTATCTCTTAGAGTTGTAATCATGTCCTGCCTGACTTCTTCCCTTACTATCAGAATCAACTGGAAAAGTTAACTTTTCTGCAGAATTCAGGAGACTTTCCCTGACTAGAATCTTCCTTGTTATCCTTCACCTATGACTTAGGTACATATATATGTTTCTCTGCACAGAGTTCTATTACAATAGAAAGCTGAGGGCTGGCTCCATAATGCAGTGCCTAAGCACACTGCATTGAGAACCAGAATGCACATGGCTGACCACAGTTCAAACCCAGGCCCAGTAGCCCCAAAACATGCCAGGCTTGGGTACATGTGTACTCAAAATCTTGACTGGATGGAGAAATGGAGGAAAAGGATTGTGGCATGACCACATCCCATGTGCGGGAAGTGAGTGGGCTTTTTCTTCCTCTCTCTCTCCCTGCCTCTCCAGCAAGTATATGAAACCTCTGGCAAATAAAGAAAAAAAATAGAAAGCTGAATCCATAATCCCAAATAGCTAAATAATGAAATTTCTCTTTTGGCAAACCATCTGAAAACACTAGTTCTTAATAAACTTTTACCTTAATTGAGAATGCTATAGCATGAAGTCTTAAAGAATAAAGATTCACTTTCTAACAAGCTGTTTAGCTGATTTTGTGGAATTCTTATCTGTGATCTCTGGTTAAGAAAAACAAAATTAATTCAAACAATACTCAAGATTGTATCAACCAAAGTTCTTATGACATCACCATTCTCTGCGGGGAAACTAGAAGAATAAAACAAAATAACCTATCCTCTCATTAAAAGAATTTCTGACTCTGAATAAAAAAATACAAATTATTTCAAAGAATATTGTTTTTCCACCTCTCTGACTGATGGTGGAGAACGGATTAAGGGAAGTGAGATTTAGGCAAGAGAAACAGAGAAAGGCCATTGTAGTAGTTTTAATGAGATATGGTAGTGGCCTAGACTAATGCCATGGCAGAGAAGATGAGATCGTCAAAAAATAGGAGGGCTTAGAACTGATTGAGCATCAGAGCAACAGAGGGAGAACAGTCAAAAATGATATCTAGATTTCTGGTTTGCACAACTGGGACATAAGAGAGTCATTTATGAAGAAAGGGACCAAAGAAGCAGTAATGATTTTGTTACTGGATGAAGCTACTCCAATACTGATGGGTCAAAATTGCAAGTGAATCTGTGCCATTTATCAAGTCCAAAGGGGCTTCAGCATCACCAAGACTACCACACCCAGAGCACTAGCAACTATTCAGCCATTTATTACCAAACTTCTTACCATCTTCGTAGATTTATACTGCCTATTTGGTAACGTCTTTTGGTTTGTTTTTAGTGAGATATTTGCTATAGAGTGGGTGGCGCTCACTGGAGAGACAAAGACAGACAAAAAGTGAGAAATCACCCTCTCAGGGGGAATGGCCACACCATAATCCCTTCTCCTTCATTCTCTCGGGATTCTGCGCATGCATGCACACATGCCCAGGGTGAATTTTAAGCTGCCGGATCCGGAACTCAAACTGCAGTCAACTATGTGGGAGTCCAGCAACACAACCATTACGCCATCTGCTGGTCCCCCTGCATTGATTTTCTAACTTGTTACATGGAAAAATATCAGAAGATCAATTAAGATAATGTTAATTATAGCATTGATAAATTATAAAGAATTTACAATCTGTAAACTCATTAGAAAGCATTAATTTATTTTTGTTATTTTCTAATACAAAGTTAGTTCTTGCTCATCCTTGGCTAATATTTATTCTTAATGCTTCTAGCAGTTTCCATCATATGAAAAAGAAAATATTTGGGAATAGCAGGTAGCATGGTGGTTATTGCACTGAACTCCCATCTAACTGACAGTGGTTCAAGTCCCAGACCCTGTGGCTAGAAAATCACACTGGAGAAGGGAGTGCAGTGTGGCCATCCCCTCTGGGGGTGATTTCTCACTTTCCCTCTCACTGTCTCTCTGTCTCTCTCTGGTGAGTACACGTACCTTATGGCAAAAGCCTTAAAAAGAAGAAAGAAAGAAAGAAAGAAAGAAAGAAAGAAAGAAAGAAAGAAAGAAAGAAAGAAAGAAAGAATGAAAAATGAAATATTCAGCCATCGAAAAGGAAGGAAATTCCACCGTTTGTGATAACATGGATGAATCTTGAGGACATTATGCCAAGTGAAATAAGTCAGACACAGAAAGACAAATCCTGTATAACCCCACTTAGCTATGAAATCTTAAGCTTATAGAAGCAAGTAGTGACCAGGAACTGGGGTATAAGGAAAAGGGGGTACAAACTTTTAGTTAAAAGATGAATAACTCTCATTAATAATGCTGTACTGTTTGCTTGAAATTTACTAAGAGAGTTAGATCTGAAGTTTCTTTACCATAAACACACACACACACACACACACACACACGTGCATAATGACAACTAAGGATGATGATGAATGGACTAATTGATTTGATTGTGGTAGTCATTTCACAATGTATGTTTATCAAATCATCACAATGTATGCCTTGCATAGATGTGATTTTTATTTGTCAATAATATTTCAATAAAGTTAGAGGAAAACCCAAAGCAAATAAACACAAAATAATCCAAAATAAAATGAGCAGCTGACTTTTTTTAATCTTAAAAAACAATCATTGATATTTAAAGCTTTATTTTGTATGAACAGAACTGATATGGCACTTACTTTCTTTTAATGTTTTTGATGTTGTTATTTTGGGCTTCTGGAGACTCAGATCAACCGATAGTAGGGTGGATGAGGTAGCTGGATTCCACATGGCTGACTGTGCAGTTCAAGTTCCAGACCCAGTGGCTTGAAAAACATGATGAATATTTGTGTGTACATGCCCAAAATCCTGAGAGAATGGAGAAGAGATTGTGACATAGCCATCCCCTCTGGGGAATATTTCCTTACTTTCCTTCTCTGTCTTCTCTGTCTCTCTCTTGCTCCAGCAAGCATATGTACCCTGTAGCAATTTTTTTAAAAGATCCAATAAATAATTAAAATATGTATACTACTTTGGAAAATTCAATAGTATTATCGAATTGGTGAGTTTTGATATAAGATTCCTCAAAAATTCTGAGATTCTTTGTTCTTTCTGCTGTATTGATACCATCTTTTCTTTTTTTTTTTAAGATTCCTTTTTTCTCCCTTAAGCTAGAGGGAACATGCACTCAGCAGAGAGAGAAAGGTCATGGCCATGCTGCAATCCTTTTTCCGTCATCTCTCCTTCCCATCAGGATTTTAGGCATGCACACACACATGCCTGGCATGTTTTCCAAGCCACCAGGGCTGGGACTGGAACCACAGCCAGCTACATGGGATCCAGCTCCCAATGCAAAGTACTTAACCACTGTCATGTTAGGCCAGTCCACCATATCTTTTAATAGTTGACTTATTTGAAAAATGCAGATACGGTAAAAGCGCATTTTTTATGAGTTAGTTGTTCTGGATGCTATGTCAATGTCTCATCTATTTAAAGAAAAAAAAAGAAGTGCTCATTTTTATAAGTTTCATAACGATGTTTTATATGTTCCAACTTAATGGCCATGTTGTGCTTTCTATTTAACCCAGGAATTAGTTCCATATAAACTGCAAGCCTTTTAGTTTTATCACCAAATGAGTATCCTAGTATAAGGAAATAAAGGCTAATAGCCTTGTGAATTATGGATTTGAGGGTGGATTTGAACATTGTATAAAATCCCAAACAAACAAGACAAAAGGCCTAAATGTTGTGGAAAGGAATAAATGAGGTCATGGGTACAGTCTGTCTCTTTGGCAGGAGGAGTGGGGCCTTGGCAAAAACCCAGCCAACCACAAAGGGCAAAGAGGTTCTCAGACCAGAGCATGGTGATGTGGCTCTGAGATCATCAGCAGGAGAGCTGTGTTTTCTGAGGGCCCTGCTGTGTCCCAGGCATTGTACTGGGTGCTTCATATGGGCGATAACTTCTTCCCTAAAATGGCTGGCAGGGATGCAATCTCGCCAAGTAACTTGCAACAGCTCGCAAAGTAACTGCAACACTCACCAAAGCAAAGTGACCATAGATTTGGACTTTAGTTTTTGTCTTTAGAGGAAAAATTGATTTTATATTGCTATAGAACAAAGAAAGTTATGACTATATCCATTGACTTTCCAGTTTGACTCTGTGTTCTCTTTTCCATAGCTAAAATGTTTTACCGTCCGTGATGTTCAGATATTTTGTTAGAATACTGAGGACATTATATTTAAAATATTAGACCATGTTGTGATAAGCAGCAAGCATGAAACCACTTCCCTATGAATTTCATATTGCACTTGTTCAACAAATACTTGTTGCATTACCGCTCTATGGAGGTACTGTTTTAAGTGCTGGCAATACTGGGTGGTGGGCAAAACACGGAGTCCCTACTTTCAAAGAGCTTGTAGCCTAGAAGAGGGGCAGACATTAAGCACATTAT